GCTGGGAAAACCGTGGCATGCACTGCGACACGCTACCGTCATTACATGTAAATGCTTCAAAATCATCCTTCCCGGCCCCGGAGACATGTGGACCACCATCAGAGGAGCTTCTTTGCATGAAGAGCTCATTTGGGGTCTCCCTAGTGGAAGGGACACAGACTGCCTTCCTCCAGACACGAGTGTCCCTGACCGAGAGATGATATGACAGGAGTGGGGCATCACCCTGCATGAGTGGACCAGACCCGGTGACGCTCTCCCCAGAGCCTCCAATGACAGCAGCCCGGCAGATCTGGGAGTCCTCTGGAAATGGGGGCTCTGAAACCTATGAATGAAAATTCTCTTGTTCCCTAAAGTCTTTAAGGACAGAGAATGGAGTCCTCCTCCACATCCCTCAATCCCCCACCAGAACCACCCACCAGAACCACTCAGGGCCTTCCTTTGTCCTGACCCCAGAGGCAGGACGAGAGGCAGAGCAAAATCTAGGAGCTTGGAGAACCCGCCCCCTGCAGACCGGCCCAGCCTCCCCTGCAGACTGACCCAGCCTCTCCCTACCCACAGGGCTCCCGGCAGGGCACTTCTAAGCTCTGAGGCTTGCCATTGCTTGCTGTGTGTCTCTGCCTGCAGCCTCCATGCTACCAGGCCTCCAGCCTGTCCTCGGGCCTGTCTCCCAGCCCTGATGCGCCTGGCACCAGGAGTCGGACACGGAAGGAGCTGCTCTGTTCTCTGCTGGAACCAAGCTCAACTCAACCAAGCTCAACTGGGCTCAGAGCAGGTCAGTGGGCCGAAGGGATCTGAGAGGAGAGGGGCATGTCTGCACAGGGAATGCTCAGGCCCACCACCAGCTCCGGTTCTGGCTGTCCTTCCACTTCCCTTAGTGACCCGGGACAAGTGTCCCCTCTCCCCCATCCCCAACACCCCCACTCTGTTTCCTGAAAAGAGGAGGTTTGGCCCCAGTTACCTGTGGAGACCCTCCCAGCTCAGCCCCTGAGAGCAATGCCGAGGGGAGGCCGGGGATCACGCCCTTCTCTGAGCAGACCAGCCCTGGGTCCCGGCTGAGCAGGCCCTGCCCCCACGTACCTGCAGGCTGGCCCTCTGGCCTGGACGTGGCCCCGTTCTCCAGTTTCTCCTTCACTCTGCGGGTGGCCTCCTTGATGAGCTGTTCCCGCAGACTCGGAAATTCAGGAAACCTCCGGGCCTGCTGTTCTCGCTGGACTCTCAGCAGGGACTCCAGGTGTGTGCGCTTCTGAGCTGAGATGCCCTTTGCCTCCTAGGGAGGACCGAAGGTCACCTTGGAGACAGGGCTCCCTTCCTTCCCCTTCCCTAAGCCCTCTCACCTGCTGCTGCTGGCCCGGGAGTCCCTGCCATCAAAGTCCGGTGCTTTGAGGGAAGGAGTAGGGATAGGAAAGGAGAATCGGAGTAGGAGGGTGGCTCCGGGTGTTGCTGAATGTGTGATTGTTTAGGAGTTGGGAGCCCTGGGGACCAGGTGACACGGTGGCTGGGCAAAGGACTCCCACATGGCTGACTGGTTGAGTCCCAGACCTGGAGACTTGTCTACCCACTTCCACTTCCTCTCCCTCTCCCTCTCCCTCTCTCTCCTCTCCCTCTCTGGTGAACACAATGTGCCCTATAGCAAATTTTTTAAACTAATAATAATAAATAAAATTTGAACAAATAAATCATCTGTTTTAAGTGTTGGAAGTGTGCACAGCAGGATAACACCATCCCGTCCTCATCACAGCAGAAGGGACTCCGTGGAACACACTTTTCCACCACCCAGCTTATCCTGGGGGAGATCACGCATGCTCGCTTCTGTACCCTCAGGCCCTACCATTATGCCCGACGCGTTGCCCACGGCTAACCACGTCTGCAAAGCCAAACTGCAATCAACAAAAGCCCTGCCATTGCCTACTGGAAGTTGCCTGTGCTTCGACCTCTGTCCAGAGCCCTTGGAAGGTCATGGGTGGTAACTGAATTGAAGAGGAGGATTTAATCAAGGTTAGAAAGAAATGTTTTAATCAAGTCTGAACATCGGGCTGGCAGATGGCATGGTGGTTAAGGCGCTGGACTGCCGCATGGCTGACTATGGTGCAAGTCCCAGACCTGTTGGCTCTCTCTCACTCTCTCTGTCTCTCTGTCTCTCTCTGGTCAAACTGAAGAAGAAAAAGAAGAAATAATTTTTTTTAAAAGAAAGTCTGGGGACCAGCAGTTAGCGTAATGGCTATGTCACTAGACTCCCATGTAGTCGACCACGGTTCGCATCCCGGACCCGGTGGCTTAAAACTCATGCCGGGCACATGTGCATGGAGTGAGGAAGATCCCAAGAGGAGAATGGAGGAGAAGGGATTGTGGCATGACCATCCCCCCTGGGGGGTGATTTCTCGTTTTCTGTCTCTCTGTCTCTGTCTGTCTGGCGAGCACATGCACCCTATAGCAAAAAAAAAAAAAAAAAAAAAATATCTCTCCAAAATAAAAAAAGAAAGTCTGAACAGAGGGTCAAAGTTCAGCAGTAGGTCAAACAACCAAAGATGAGTGAGCATGCTCACCAAATTGCTAACCTAGGTGTCAACTGTCCCTAACGTACTCTAGACCTGAGGTATTTGGCGATTTTAATAACAAGGTGCATTTTTACTTAATGGTAGAGTTCGTCGGTGCCTCCAGCAATAATGCGCACGCTCTGGTTAAACACAACAGCGTTCAATACCAAGTGGTCCCAGACACAGCGTCAGGTGCCTGCCTGTCCACGGCCACCTGCTGAGCGGGCATGGCCACGTGGCCGGAGATGAGGGATGTGAAATGGCACTGACCCAAGGAAGACCCACCCGGAGACCAGAGGGAGCCAGCTAAATTCCCTCTGTCAGAAAACTTCATTAGATACAGAAGGAAGTGAGTGACGAGTGGAGAAGCGCGTGGCAGGACTCAGGGTGGCATCCCTGGCCAGGAAGTGCCCGTCGTGAGACACCATCGGAGGACACAGAGAGGAGATACCGTGCTGCGAGGTGAGAGGCGTAGGGTTCCCTCCCTGGACACCGAAGGGCCCAGTGGGAACAGGCGGGATGAGTGAGTCAGCAACACGCATTTGTCGGCCTGAGGACACCCGGGGTCTTAGTGGCAGCTCTCGGTCCTTAGAGCAGTGGCCCTGCAACTCACCGTCTTTATCCCCAGGCTTTCCAGTTTCTCTTCCAGGGTGTCCTCCAGGATCGGCCTGAACTGCTTCAGCAAGGTGGGGTTTCGCCTCAGCGCTGCCAGCACCTTCTGCTGCTCGCCCCCGGAACTCTCCAGTTCTAGCACAAGACAATCACCCAGCTCAACCTGGGCACCCGAGGCCGCCATTCCCAGAGCCCCACGTGCCCTTCAGACCTGGCACCACCGGCGACACCCATCTTGGGCCAGAGAGCCGGGGCTACTGAGCCCTCCAGAGTGTCCATTCCCAGGTCGGAAGGCAGAGTGACTCTGGGAGTCCTGGACTCTCCGCCTGCCTGTAGCACTCTACCCCACCTGTCTAGACCCTCAAGATCTGGGCTCAGTCAGTCCTGCCGGAGGTCAGGACTATGAGGCCTGTACTCAAGTGCCAAAGGAAGCTTGCTCCCTGGGCTCCATTCTGACCCGATTCCAGGTGCTCCTGCTGCCAGTTCCAGCCTAACCCTAGCCCCTACCTGACACCCTGGCCCCACTGCCAGCCGGGCTCCATTCTGATGTAAAGGACAAATTAGTGCACCAGAAAGATGGTCCCTGCTCCTCCCCGTGTGCTGTCTAGACCAGGGTTCTCCCTCCAGCTGCCCCACACATCAGAATCCCCTGGGCATGCCTTCTGGTCCCATCACCCAGAGAGTGATTCCACATGCCCAGCTGATGCTGAGCCAAAGACCTCGCTTTCAGAAACAGTGACCCGGGAGTAATGGGAGATGCAATCACAGCAGGTCTGGTGTGCTCGGGTCAGTGTGGGGCTCTGGGAACGGCGGCCTCGGGGACCCAGATGAGTTTGGAAGGCCCCTCTCAGAAGTGCTCGGGTCAGTGTGGGGCTCCTGTGGTAAGAGCTGGACTGAGCCCGTGAGCCACTCAACGGACTTCACTGAACAAACAGGGGAGGGCGAGCAGGCCGGGCTGGTGCTGGGAACCAGACCTCCAGCTCCTACCCACAGGTGCCCTCCGTCAAGGCTGCAGACCTCAGCCCCGGCTGCCTGTGGGAACCACCCGGGCCTGTTACATCAGAATCTCCGAGGGTGGGTCCCCATCTTTGATATTTGCTTTTTAAACTTCCCAGATAGTCTAATGAACTGCAAGGCCTGAGAACCAACTCTTCTAGGCCAATGGCCCACAAGCCTGAGCCACTGCGCCGGAATCACCTGGAACCTTGTGAGAGAAGCAGACCCTTAGCGCCCACTCCAAACCTGCTGACTCAGCAGTTCTGCAGGAGGACCCCAGTGTCTGTGGGCAGCCTTCCCCGCCCTCAGAGACTCTGCTGGATAAAGTTTGCTCCAGGGCATGAGCCTCAACATGGGCTGCACCTTGGGATTACCTGGATAGCTGTACCTGCTGCTGATGCCTGGGCCCCACCTCACCGTGTTCTGCTTCAGGTAGTCTGGGGGGTGGCATGGTCCTTCCAGTAGTTACAAGTTCCCTGGGTGATTCCTTTTTTTTAATTACCTTTATTTTAACCTTATTTGTTATTATTATCTTCCAGTTTGGTCAGAGAGAGAGGGGGAAAGTGAGAAAGCAAGCCACCAGGTCCAGAACTTGAACCATGGTCGGCCCTATGGGAGTCCAATGCCTTTAACCACCATGCCACCTGCTGGGTTCCCTGGGTGATTCTTAATGTGCAGCCTGGTGTAGAAAGTCACTGGGGTCGCAGTGGCTCTCAGAGTTGAGCAAAGATCAGAACACCGACCCAGCCACCGTGGCACAATGTAGCATCACTCCGCAGTGCTGGAAGTTTTATGGCAATGACAGTTGGGGTCAGGGTCAATGTGAGAAAAACACCAGGCATGCACTCGGGCACCCAGGGTCACGAGGAGCTAAAGGGCTGGGGACGGGGTTCATGGTATGGCTGAACTCGCTTGTGGGTGCTTTCTCTGTAGCAAAAAAAAAAATAAAGTGAAGTACCCTGTGATGGACTGAGGTGACACTCATAAAACCCTTTCCAGGGGTGCCTGCAGGCAACCTGGGATGCCACAGCACAGCCTGCAGGCACAGACAGGCCCGTCTCTGCGGGTCCCATGCACTCTGGTCTTTCTGGAGAGCATCCCGTCTCTGCACCTGGGAGCTCCTTGCAGTCCAGGAGCCTCTCTCTTTTGTTTCTTTGTCTTCTTAGACCCTGGCTACCTCTGGCCGAGAGTTCTGTGGGTAGAATCTGTCACTGAGCAGGGTGAAGAGACAGCAGGTACCAGGGCCAGCAGATGGCCTAGTAGTTATGGTGCTGGACTCCCACATCACCAGCAGCGGTTCAAGTCCTGGACCTGGCAGCTTGAAAATCACACCAGGCACACGTGGGTGCGTGTCCAAGATCCCAGAAGGAGACTGGAGGAGACGAGATTGCAGAGTGGCCATCCCCCCTAGGGTGACTCTCACGTTCCCTCTCACTGTCTCTCTCTCCGGTGAGTGTATGTGCCCTATGACAAAACCCTCTTTACCCAGTGCCCCAAAGATGGAGCCAGAGCACACTCACGCACATTAACAAGGCCCTGCGGATCCACTGACCACACTCACAACGCAGCAGGAGCCAGCCAAGGCCGTCGGCGAGCCAACGCAGTGAGCTCTATACCAGGGACAGAGGGAGTGGGGAGGGGAGCCGAACACTGGCTCGGCCACCTGCTAGCTTTGTGACTGGGCAAATCACTGACCCTCTCTGAGCACGGGTTTTTCTACCCGTGAACCTGCAGATCGCATGTTCTTTGCTGCGTGTAATATGTCTGGCACCTGCGGGTGCCTAAGAATAACGCCTTCATGTCCCTAGTCCCCTCCGCCACACCGCAGGGGTGCAGACACAGCTTAGAGACAGACTAAATGATGAAGAGGATAGCATAGCTGCTCTGCACACTGCACACCCGGGAGAAAAGTACAGCCCCACCTTCCTCGGGAGAGTCCTCCTCCGTGTCCACAGGCTTCGGCACCTCCCGGATCTCTGGAGAGAGAAGGAACGGTCAGCGGCTCCCCTCCCATGCCCTGGACCCCATCCACGGTTCAGAGCAAAGAGCCGGACCTCGGTGAGCACTGGCCAGAAAGATCAAGCCCCCTGGTCAGTCCGTCTTTACCGGAGGGAGGCCGGGTGGAGCCGTGCCCCAGTCACAGACGCTGAGGCGCAGACACCAAGTTCACAGCCCGGCTCAGGTCCTTGGACCTCTCTAACCCTCGTCGCCTCGTCTAGAAAGAGAGGACAACAACCCCACCCACGTTCAATCCTGGGGACACCGTAATGAGAGGGCCGAGTACAGGCCCCAGCTGTCCATGGTACTGGCCTGGGACCAGCCTGCCGGAAGGCCAGGGCCTCGGGAATAGCACCTCCCTGGGCTGGCTGCAAGGTGGAGGGAGAAAGGTCTAGCCCACAGGCAAGGAACGGCAGGAAATGTGGGTTTGCAAGAAAAGGAAAGGGTGACTGAAGGCCCAGGCCGGGGAGCTGGGCAGAGAACGAAGGAGCAGGCCAAGGTGCATCTGCCCATAGACTACAGCGACTGTGCTCCGTAAACACAGACGACACTGGGACCAAGGTCAAGGTCACTGGCAACCCTGAGCCCTGCCCCAGGCATGATGAATTAGCCTGAGCCCAGTCCTGAGCCCCCTCCATTCACCACAGCCCCAGGGCCCACGCCCACCCCACCGCCGTCCCTCTACGGAGAAGGCCAGCCTAGCAGGGCACCCTGCCCGCTGCGGGGAAAGCCTCCAGGGCCAATACCAGCCAGGCCGGAGCCCCACCTGTGCCAGGAGCCCCCTCCCCCGCCCCAGGCATGATGAATTAGCCTGAGCCCAGTCCTGAGCCCCCTCCATTCACCACAGCCCCAGGGCCCACGCCCACCCCACCGCCGTCCCTCTACGGAGAAGGCCAGCCTAGCAGGGCACCCTGCCCGCTGCGGGGAAAGCCTCCAGGGCCAATACCAGCCAGGCCGGAGCCCCACCTGTGCCAGGAGCCCCCTCCCCCACGCCCTGGAGAGCCCAGCACATGTCCCACGGCTGCCATCACCCATCCTCGACCCAGAAATTGTGGGGTGGGGAGTGACAGGGAGAACGACCACAGGCGACAGCCAAGATGGCTC